GGGAGACGGTAATGCTAAACAAAACCATATTTTGTCTTTAGATTCTAAGAAATAAACTTTTTTAGATTATTATTTAACAGAATGACCACAACACGCAACTTATTTTTATAGTGTCAAATGTTTCAATTAATGATGTGTCGATTCGATTATTATACACATCGATTAATGTCAACGATTATTAAATACTTTTACCCCAAAAGTTAATTAATGATTTCAGATTAATTCCACCGTATTTTAAAGCTATCCAAGTTAATGAAAAATAGTTAAAAACCAATGTTAGGACAATGTTTATTATACTAGCATTGTACATGCAAAATTTATGGAATTAAACTAGCTGTACCCGCGATTTCGTCCGCGTGGAAAGTAGCCTTAGTAATGAGGAAGTATTAAAAAAAAAACATTAGTTCTCGAAATCAAACTAGATGTCGCTACGGTACGTTATTGATTTTTCCATGACAACCCTTCCAGCTTTCTTTCATGTTTAAAAGTAAATTAGTTTTCAAAACGCAATAAACAACTCATATTCTATTTGTACTTTTTCGTATTTGTATTGATATCCCAGATAGCAATTTAAACTTGTTTCTGACTTGCAACAAGTTTGATATATCAAAAAAGAAGACTTGCTTCACGTTTGCCATGACAACTGCAGCAACTTGCAGCAAGTAAACTTTCTAGTTTCAGCGTGACAAACTTGCACTATCTTTGACGTATCAAAGGTAGTGCAAGTGTACCTATGTACTGACTCGAATACCTAACAGGTACACCACGGGTACTCGAGTACCTGGAATACAGGTTTCGACTCGAGGCAAATGATTCTTTATCTAAGTTTTTATTAATCTTTTGATCATTCAAAAATTTTGATCCAATAGTAATCGTGACTTTAAATTCAGACCACATCACAGAGCCTAACCTAAGAGCCAAAGTAATTTACTGTAATGGTTGGTGTTGTTTGATTCCCATATGAGGATCACATTAAACGGCATATTACTTATACAATCTAACAATATAAATTGTTACCGCGATGCATTAATTGAACAGCGCCATCTAGTTTGCAGATTTAGAACCATTCGGGCACCTATGAAGATAATGGGTGTGTTACATATAAGTATCTCTGTCATAGCAATATTCAAACAATACTGTCGCAAACTTCATATTTAACATAACAATATTGCAGCGACATTGTCACAAACTAGCCTCTTATATTTGACGCAGCAATTTAGATCCAAGGAAAAATCAAACTTGCCCCACGTTAGCATGCTATCTGGGATCTAAGTTACGAACTTTACAAATTTCAGTTTTTTAATATGTTAGTTAAATGGAATGGAAATGACAGTCTTTGGTCCATTCGTTTCCTGTAAAAATTGCAAAAATAGATTCGCCATCTAGTGGAGGAGCTTTTTAAGTGCTTTCTTTCTTTTTAAACACTTCTTCATTCCTTATTACATAAGCTATCTGGCATAAAAGTCCTGTCAAAATTTTTCTAACCGTTTTAGAGTTTAGCCGTAAAAAACAGACACAAAAAATGTAAAAAACATTATTTTGGTATTGAATGGTTAATTTGTATTTGTAAAAATAAAACTGTAAGATCCGCTCATTCATTCATCGGTTACCTATTTGTTCGTAGGAGTATTCCAGGGTTGCCATAATAAGTAATAGAATATCTACTAATAATATTCACACTCGCGATCCGCTATGGGTTGCTGAGCCATCGAAGTAAAGTAAGTAGGTAGTATACTTTTCCTAAATAACCTTTTCCTCTTACTAATGTTTAAAAAAATAATCGATGGTTAATCGTCGATTAGGAAATCATAATCGATAGTAACTGATTATTTGAAAAATCTATTAATCGATTAATGATAATCGATTCCGCACACCATTAGTTTCAATTAATCAATTATATTTCATTAATTAATAGGTTTTTAAAAAGGAACAACGGAATTTAAATATATTTCTAAATAAAACCGATACATTTTTATTAACTTTGGTTTTTACTTAGACTAATTCATATCAATTATCTATAAAAAATTAAATAGGTATTTGCGAAGAAACACATAAACAAACCTGAATTGTTCCAAAAAACTCAAAAAATTAACCCGTTCCCTAAATATTGAATATATTGATGAAGTATCGAGTCACCTTTTCATTCTAATCAACTTGCTATTCTGTTGCGTGAGGTGTAATATCTGTGCTCGCGCCTCGTGCTTGAAGCCTCAAAAAGTGAGGAGCTAAATGAGGTGGTTCAAAATTGAAAAACGAGTACTCCCTTATTCTGTCGAAATGAGGACCTCAAACGAGACACCTCGCGAGCGAGGGGCTCATCACTAGTGAAGTGAACTGTGAACTTCACTCTGATCGGTCGCACAACAAATGAACTGGGACCCAACTACCCAAGTGATCTGCTATGCTGAGCAGGTTATGCTGCACAATACAACTTTTAATTATTTTGGCTAAATATTTGAAAAAAATATTTACGAAATAATAGATTGGCGTTGGGTATCATAGTTCTTACATAAGGCGGAAAATTTGAAATTTTCGTGTTTTTATTGATTTTTACCGTTTTTAAAACAATATTTCCAAATACTTTAAGTGATTCACGAAGTCGCGAAAAACAGTAAGAGCGAACGAACACGACTTGCAAGTAAATGAAAGAGATAGATATATTGAATCACCTTCGCAGAAGACTCTATCATTTTGTTTGCGAGCAATCAGTTACTACAGTAACGCTATTAAAATAAAGTGCAATTTGGCTTGCGTAGGTAGCGGGTCAAATAATCGAATCTTGATTCGATGATGACTCAATCGCGATCGACACAGGTCTAGTAGATGACTATGTAATATCATTGAATATGTAGATGACCATGTTTTTATTACACCTAAGAATACTATTTGATATTTTTTTAAATATTACTTTAAATATAAACTATTTTACGAAAATATGACCCAGGTATGAAAATACATTAATGTTAATTAATACATTATCGTTTTGCAACGGGGTTTGATACGAAATTTAGGCGCACTATACGTAGATTACATCTGGCCTTCAGAGATGCCAGACCCATGTCAGATAGATTTGGGAAGACGATATGGGGAATTAGTGACACATTGTGGCCTTTTTTAGGTCAATGAGCATTTTCATTCTTTTGAGCCTCAAACCAACCAATCTCAGAAAATTAAACAACAAACTTTAGCCAATCTTATAGAATTAACCAATCTTATTTTTATGTAAAAAATAAGCCTTATCCTCATACTGTCTGAAATACACGTCCTATATTAATTAAAAATTAAAATTATCCTTAAAACAATGACCTTAAATAATAGGAGTGTATAATCTAACAGAAGAAAGTGTTGATTCTCGAGTATTCCGTATCAACACCCGAACACATTTGTATGGGTAATGTGGCTTTAAACTAATGTTCTATTTAATAGTCAACTTTACCGACACAAAAAGCTTGATTTGTTATTAATTAGTCATTTTCAGGCATCCTGAATAACTAAGCGTCCCTAGTAGACGAATCATCAATATTGTGAAAATTGAATTCATTATTAGTTTACTATGTGTTTATTATAATAAGTCTCGCTCTGAATAGACTCAAACCGGGCTTAATCTGCGTTGACGAGCTTCGACTCATTTAAAATATCTCTGTATGTGACATTTAGAGGTCCACTTCCAAGTCCAATTCTACATTGTCCGAATAGATTGACTCACAGCATGAATTGGAACGTAACTTAGGCATGGGGTTGTCATAGATTTTCCTAATGCACTTATGTGTTGCTATCCCCTATCGATTAATATTTAATTTATGCTTGGTTAGAGATAATTTGAAACAAGTACCGGCCTCCATACAAAAAAAAAAAATCTCCTTTAGATTGACTTTTCCTATTTATGATGATTTGGCACTTTATAACCTAGTAGTGATTACAAAAGAGCTTATTTATATTAATGCCGTGGAATCTCGAAATGAAATTAATAATTCAACACTTTTTCCTCATATTGTGCAACTCCTATGAAAATAGGTTTCATAGTTATGATAAGAAGAATCTATAATTCAATAATAATATTATTCAAAAGAATCCATAATATGAAGATCGATATGCTGAAATTAAATTTAAGTTGGTCCAGAATAATCAATAGACACTGGTTAAATAATATTCAATTATGTTCGTTTTTATAAGTGTTAAAAATCACGAATTTATTGAAAAAAAAAAATTGTTAGCACTTATTTCATGAAATTAAATGTAGATAACGTAGGAACATAAAGTGTTCTAAACTAAATGGCTAAATTTACTTTATACGGTATAGTAAAAGCCACCATTTATTTTCTTCAGTCGCCGAAACAAACCTCATTTAGGTTTTCATAATGGTACACACAATTTTGTAACAATGATGTGACCTTTCACCAAAATTGTCTTTTGTTCCTTAATTTTCAATAGATGTTCCATCCTTTACCAATTCGTTGAATAAAATTTAAATTAATAATTTAGAAATATAGGTCTGTTGCTTAAATTTCGCTAGGTAATTTCTAGAAACTTCACCCTGAAAATTATAGCCTATGTCACCCGCGTATATGAGGTACCTTCCCGTAGGTAAAAAATTTTCATGATTGGATCAGTTTTTTCGAAGATTACCCTTATAAAAAACATAAAGTTAGAAATTATTATATTTAAGTGCTTGAAAAATTCGTCAGTCGTGTTAGGTTCTGAATACCAGGGACAAAATGGATTTTAAGCATTTGTTTTTAAGAAAACGTTAGAAACTTTTCCCCTTTATAATATTAGTATGAATAATAAAGACTATATTTACAAATATACTATCAATTAAAACGTAGGATCATATATTTTTTTTGTAAACCTCTTCCATATTTAGAGGTTTGAAAAAGTCTGAATATTGCACCCTACAAAACAAACCCAAATCTAATATGGCGTCAAAAATCTAAATTAAATTAATTTATAGTTGAGATAGTTCACAGAAAAACTTTTTTTACTAGTTTTGTTTTTTTCAGGCCCCGTTCACCTATCAGCTCCAGTGGAGTGGAGTACAGAAGGGCGGACAGGGCCGTATCCTGGGGCGCAGGGGGAGCGCGGATACACACACCAATGCTGGAACCACTCGCCGACAACTCCAACAGGAGGCAGTTCGGCATGGGCGTCGTCGGTAGATTTTTCCGGTAAAGAACATCTGACGTTTTATTTTCACTTAGGTTGCGCCCAATTTTCTAACGATTATAAGCAAAGAATGATGCGATTTCAATAAATAAATTCGATAAATGTATTTTATTCACGTCTAATTAGTGTAGCCTTTCGTTATCTTATGGTCGCACCATTCCCAATAAATCGCACGATCAAATTACTATACAAATGATTGACGTCACAATATGGCGGTCATTGATGCATCGTGATGGTGACTGTTTTGGTGCTAAATTCCAAATTAAAATAACAATAAAATTCTGGTCTTGCATAATTTCAGGAATAAACAAAATTTTTTATTCAAATTATACAAGACCAGAATTTTATTAACCTTATTATAACATGCAAAAGCAATATTTAGCTTTGCTTGCGGGAGCGTATGATTAAATCCATCGTATGATTGAAGTATTTCTTGCACTCAAATGTCGACTTTTGTCTTTCAATTAGAAAATTGATTGTGCTCATACGTTCGTAACCAATTAAAATCATGCCCTAGGTTATTAATCTTTCGCCTTCTTTAGTGTTGTTTTTATTGCTTTAATAATTTGATATTTTATTGCAAGATTTTTTCTGCATTGTTTGTTTCTTAGGTCACAGTAGATTTTTTCTACTGTCTTTCTTTGAGTCATCGGCTTTGTGATTATACTTTAATGAACCAAAGAGTTTGTGGCACAAATAGGTTGTATTATAATTGATCGTTGAAAGTTTATTACGTTGGTCCTTTTTAGTGCAATCCGTGATTTTAGAGATTAAAGGCCACACTCTAAAAAAAAAATTGTTACATCAAACAATATTGTGATATATGTGACCAAGCATCTTGTTTCCATATGAGCCTGACAAGATCTTAGATACATTAAATAAGATGGTTTTTATTATTTTTACTATAGTTACTTTGTTAAGATAATTAAGATGTCATTCAATTTGATCATTATAAATAACTATAGCAACTACCTCCTAGTCGTCAATTTAAATAAGATCGTAGTCGATATGTCTATGATATGTGACTGTATGAACAATTTACCACAGTTGATTCAACCAAGAGGTTGGTAAAAATTAACATGGAACGTGGCTAAACTAATCAATTTACGAAAGTTAATTTGACCAAAAAGTTGGTCAATTTAACCATGAAATATCATTCCATTGCCAATTTACCAATGGTAATTCAACCAAGAGAACCAACCACTTTAGCCGTTTGATCATTCTGAACTTTTGGTCCAAAGCGAGTGAGACTAAACTCGGATCACAGCTCAGAGCCTAACCGAAGAGCTAAAATATATAGCTGGAATGGTTGGTTTCGAATCCCATGTTAAGTTCATTTTAAACGGCATATTACTTATACAATCTAACGATATAAACTGATACCGCGATGCATTAAATGAACAACGCCATCTAGTTTGCAGACTTAGAACTATTCGGGCACCTATGAAGATGATGGGCGTGTTTCATATTAATATCGACCAATGAATCCTTTTCATAACAATATTCAAACAATATTCTCGCAAACTTGAAACTTCATATTTACCATAATATTGTAGCAACACTGTCACAAAATTGCCTCGTCATATTTGACACTAGCGGCAACACTGGCGTGTACGGTTGTCAAACCGTTACAGCTGATTTAATTTAATTTTAAATTAAATATGTCCCGATATTTATTAATATTAGTTTTGCGAAAGTGAAAACAAAGTCTTAAGTGTTGATAATTGATCTTACTGTGTATATATATTCGCTAACATTCAAATAATCGTGCCAGACTAATATGTAACGGCTATCTGTCGGATAAAGACGAAAAACAAAAAAAAAAAAACAATAATCTATCAAGGAAAGCTATAAAACTGTGGACTGATGCATCATAAACCAGTCTTAAACAGAAGAAAAGTGATTTTTGATTGAAAAGTGAATTTGATAAGTTTGTGTGGATTGATTTAACAAAGTCACTCTTTGTTGGCACTCGCTTTTCTTAGTTGATTCATGTAAGACAGTATTTAAATCAATCAGAATTTGATAATTATTTTAGGAAATACATTGTTAGTAGCCTGAACAGCTTAATTTTAGTTAGTCCAATAATATCAAGTAGTTACCATTGTAACGGTACCCCCCTTCCCTACTATCAATTTTTCTTTAATAATATTTTGATATAAAATATTAATAAATAATAAATTCTATGCGCGGTCTAATAAGACCTTCTAAGAAGAATATTTGTATTGGCAGTGATCGTCTAATAGGACCTACGTTGTGTTGTGTGTAGTAACCCTGGTTCTTTTTTGTAGGCGATTGTTAGCAGTAAGAGAATATGTTATTGAGGGCATGTAAAAGAATTACCTACCTACTAAATAAATTCGATTAACCTAAAACTAGTAAGTCCCTAAGTACCTTGTGAAGTATAGAACTATAGGATTTTAGTAAGAGAAAGTAATGACACTTGAGCATAATAACACTGGTTACATTACATTATAATAGGAATGTTGTATTTAACATAGAAATGAAATATTTAATAAAGGTCAAATGAAAGGATGGAAGGAATAAGGTATTAGGACTAAGATTAGAAAGTAAAAGTATAATTAAATCCAATGAGAAGGATGTTGTGAAAATATATACACATTATTTGTGTTGAAGGTGCTTTCAGGCCCCGACCACGCCCTCAGCTTGAGACCCACCATCACGGCCCCTTAACCAAGGAAAGAAATGGTAAGGAGTTAGGAGGAGTCAACCCAGCACTAAACTCATAATAAAATTAATTATAGACGTTACATTTACATCCAATGTAACTAGCATGATTCATAATGGTGTATGATCGGGCACACATTCATTGTTCACAGTAGGGTTGTAGACACCATGAAGGCCTTGGCCAAACATAGTAAAAATGCGAAACGACACACACAGCAACCGGGGAACTACACAGGAACTCAACTGGTCCTCCACCCAATGTAGATCGCTACAGGGCTTCAAGGGAGCAAGTCTACCGCCATGCATAGACGCCGATATACTGAGTGGAAATAAGTCCCTAATGGCATAATGGTAAGCCAGTATAACCGGCGACCGCCATCCTAACAATATATGAGCCGACTGTCGACCAACAAACGGAGCCGACCATAACCCACAGGTATCAGCAGCCAAACTGGAGGCATTTGTTATTTCAATATAAATCATAATTATAAGAATTACCATTGTTATCGAACTAGGCAACTCAGGAAAGGTAGTGGTTGTTGTAGGGTGACATATGTCATGACCTACGATAATATTTGTAGAGTTTGCAGTATTTAGCTCGCCAGCTGAAGTACTTGTAAATATTTATGCATTGCGCATATAATATACTAAGTATGATGTTATATGTTCAGCAGAAGTCTCTCATATAATGAAGAGTGTATTATTATTTGTAATATATTGTTTGGTTATTTAACCAAAATATAGAAATGTATGTTAGCGTTACCAGCATTATTAAGCTAGGCAACACAATAAGTTAGCGTAATAGTGTAGGACAGACATGCGTCATGGCCTATGTTGGACATTTATAAGATTGCAGTATTTTGCTCGCCAGCATGATGAATCTTGAAGATTTATGCATTGCGCATATAATTTATTTATTAAGCTGTATATAAATTCAGCTGTTATAAGTCTCTCATAAAATGAGGAATTTATTGTTATTATTATTTATTAAAATGTTGTATGGTAAAATAACCATATTTCTTTTAGTGAAGAATATATATAATTTCTGAAATGTCACCAGTGTTATTAAAGTAGCCAACTGAAGAAACGTAGAGTAATGTATGTAGGACAGACACAAGTCATGACCTATATCTAACATGTATCTGAGAATGATCTCAACTAATGTATCTGTTCTATGCATATAGTCTATGAAATAGCCGTCGTATGTCCGGGTAAAGTCTCTCCCATAATGAGGCTGTTATATTAATTTAGATATAAAATCTTGTATAATGTATACGTAAACTATGCACTGTATAATAATAATATTACTAGGCCTACTCCGTTTTGCCCTGTTTGTCGTTAATTCTCACCATTTAGGTATAGTTAGCTATCCCTTAAATATAACATTAATATCGTATATAATATTTAAATGTATACCGCTCATATTGACCATCTTAAAGTCGTTAATACAGTCTAATATATCTTTAACTTGTCTTTATCACTTTACTCTAAATATTATTTTTACTTTTTAATATTACAGAATGCAATATAACACAATCCTAGCAAATCTAATTTATTCCTAACAACCTGATGAGACCCTAGCGTCCCTAACACCCACTTACTTGCGGTTCAAGGCGGAGGCCTTGAACCCGAGTTCAACGGAGGATTTTAATTCCTATCTTACCCTAAATGTAGAGTTTTCAACCGCACTAACTCTACCATTGACAAATTCTAATAGACACAATGACTCTAATTATCATAAAGCACTGACTTTAATAAGCCCGCGTCGAATTGGTACGGTATACTTAAGGTTTAATAAAGATTTTTATAATTCGTGATGTAACCTACGTATATATTCGCACCGCACTAATATATATTAAGGGATTCGCCCTCCTTCTAAGCAATTCAGACCTGCCTATCAAATCTCGCGACGCACTGATCTGATAGCAAGACTACGACAACTCTAAGAATTGCATCAACTATCTCGTAAAGCTTGTGACGAACCCTCAGAAAGCCCGAGTTCTGATTCCGCTCTCGACCTTCCCCAGATTCCCTTCAACTCCCGAAAACTCTCAACGAACCGACAGAATCCCGAGTTACGATCCTGTTCCCGGTCTCCACCGGACTCTCCCCGACTCTCCCCGACCTTCATTTTCCACCTCTTTTAAAACATTTGCTACCCCCGTAACGTTTCTCAAACCACGCCTATTTCTATTATCTTATTGTAACTATCTTAATTGACATACAAAATTATTCCTTAAGACTAAACCAATATGGACAATAATCCGAATTGCTTCCTTGTTCATCCTCTTTGCGTCTACTCGAATAAGGCTCC